TTACACCAAGCTGCTGGCTCTGCTGCACAGGTGCCACCCGCAGACCCTTCCTGGAGGCTGCAGGTGACAAGGCAGGGCTCACCTGAAGGTACCTGCCTCCTGCAGAGCACTGAGGTTGGAGGCCTCCCGAAGCACCCAGTTCTTTGGGTGAAGGGAATTTTCTTCTTGCTTCTTCAACAGGCTGGAGAGACGAGCCTTGGTTATCTTCAAGAAAGAGGCTACAAAACAACAGGGAACTTGTGTTTTCTTTTCCATTAGCTTGGACCCAAATATCCCACCAAGCACAGCATTTGACAACTGTTCCAATAATTGGCCAAGTGGGGAAAAACCAGGCAGCACAGTGGGAGAAAAAGCCACCACTATAAGAGCAGAAAAGCCCTACACCCACCCACAACACTGCACAGGGACACATTCTGGGGAGAGCCCCCTTGCCTGCACCCCAGCAAGGAGCTCTGCATCCCCAGTGAGCTGTTTGGGTTGGTTCTGACCTCCCTGCAGCACACACCTTTCAGCTCATCCTCTGTGGAGAAGAGGCCAAGCAGAATCTCAATCCTCCTCCTGCTGCGGCTCAGGTCCTCGTTCTGGTCCCTCAGCATGCCCACAGCACTCTGCACACAGGTCCTCAGCAGCACCGTGGTGTCCAGGATCTCCCCCTGCCCAGGAAAACAGGGGCATTTCCCCAGAGTGACCCTCCTGGCCCCAGCACCCTCCCCTGAAAGGCTCCCAGGCTCCCTCCAAGGGCTGCTGCCTTTCCATCCCTGTTCCCAGCTGCCATTCTCAGCCCTTTGCTGTCAGGAACGTGATGCAGCTTCTGTGCCCCTCTCAAACTGGCCTGTGACACAGCATTTGTGCTGAGCTGAGACTCCTGCAGGGCAAGATTCAGCAGTTTGAGGAAAGAAACGGAAACAATCGATGTGGCCAGGGAAAATGTGCCCTTCCTGGGAAATGCTCCATGTCCCTGGTGCTGGCCATGCCCAGCTGAGGCTGCCAGGGCCACACAGGGCAGTGTGAATGTGGCTGCAGCACAGCCAAGCCCCCAGCCAGCTCCAGCTCAGAGCACACATCTGCAGTGAGGCTCAGGAGCACAGCTCCCACCTCAGGGGAAGGAAGGAAACAGAAACTCTTAGAGCTGATGTTTAAAAATCAGAATAATTAAATGACAAAGGAATTAGAGTCCTTAGAATGGTCGATTTCTTCAGTGATGCTGATTTTGACTGGGCAGTGGGGAGGAGGAACTTGTGTCTGATCAGTAACACTCATGATGCAAATATTGCTGATTGGTGTCAGGTGAAGGGGACACAAAAGGTGGGCTGCACCCACGGATGACAGAGCAGAGAGCCACAGTGACAGCTGAGAGGCAAACAAATGTATTCTGAACTGACCTCCTGGTGCTCTGCTCCTGGCACTGGTGTTCCAACCTCCACCTCCTCCTGCTGAGCTTCTCCACTGGCAGGCAGAGCTGCAGCTAAGGAGGAGAATGTTCATAAGAAAGCAGCAGTGCACTCCTGCATCAGTCAGAGCAGAGTTTATTTTAGCAACTGCATCCCAGAGCAGCAGAACATCTGTCAGAGAGCCATTAGCACCTGCCTGAGTAGCTGAGAGTCACCTCTCAAACACAGCCACAGCTGCTCGGGCTGTCAGGCCTCATGCAGCAAGAGCTGGAAGAAATGTGACACTGAGCTAATGCCTTAAGCTCTCCCTGACTCCTGTCAGGCAGTGTGGTGAAAGGAAAAGAGAGTAAGAAAAAGCTGAGGGGAAAGAAAGATCCTTGTCAGTCTGTGTCATGCAGCATCTGCTGCCTCCTGTGCTGGGACAGAGCACTCAGGCTGCTGAGCAGTGCAAATGTCACAGTTTTGTCAAAAATAAAAGGGAGAAATACCAAATTAGCTTGCTTGATGGCCTAAAGTTGTAGCAATGAATTAAATACAAGTTGGGAGCCCCCCAAACCCAGGAAAGTCATCAGACAGGCTGTGGCAGGCATCAGCTCCTGCAGCACCAAGTGTAGGGCCACAGCTGCCCCTGTCCCCAGCACACAGCTCACCTCTGGCTGCAGCTGGCTCCTGGGAGAACACCTGGCTGATGGTGAGGTTCTGCAGGGCTGTCAAGTCAGAGATCATGTACTTGGATCTGCGGAGGTCGTCGATGTGCACTGACTGCCACAGCCCTACAGGCACAGAACAAGGTATCACTCCTAGCCTGCAGCTTGCTCTTCCAGAAGAGCTCCCCCAGAATTACCTGCCAGCCCGAGGTTACCTTCAGAGGTCACCAACTCTCACCTCTTGCTGCAGGAAGGGAGAGCACAATGCCCTCAGACCCTGCTGCTGCACACATCCCTGCCTGACAGTCCCAAGGTTCTGAGGCTCTCAGAAGCCCCCAGACCCAGAGGAACCTTGCTGGATGCACCAGCACCTGCTCCAGAGCCTCTGGAGGACAGCACACCCACAGAGTCACCCTCATGGCTCTGTGCTGCTCTCCATGACTGCAGAGGGGACCAGTCTGCCAGCAGGCAGGGCAAGGTGCTCCCTGCCAGGTACTGCTCCCCTGGGCAGCCCAGTGGGACAGGGAAGCAGCTCTGACAACCCACAGGACACACTGAGCCCAGCTTGTCAGCACTGAAAGGAACAGACTGCCTGAAGGGACAGATGGGCACACCCACCTCCATGGAATCCCACGTAGGAGGTGCCTCCTTTCAGCCGGGAGAGCTTCATGATGAAGTAAACAAAGACAGAGGCCTGCCCCAGGTCCACCTTGTTGATCTCATTGACCACGGTGTACCTGCAGCAGAGGGGAAATGCTGGTGGCACAGCAGGGGCACACAGGGGCCCACGGACACGGGTCCTGTCCCAGGACACACACAGGTGACCCCCACTCCTCCCTGCCAGCTGTGGTGCTGAGCTGCCACCTCCAGCTGTGCCCTGGATGATCCCGTGACCCTCAGCCCTTTGGGAATCCTGCAGCCAGCGCCCAGAATTCACACTTCAAAGGGATTATCTGCTCGTTTCACCCAGCTTAGTTTACTCTGACTTGGGTTATGCATTATTTGAAATACGATCAGTGCAATTGGATTCATTTTGCTACAGAATAAAGGATTGCACATTGCTGAGTGTGAGATCCCCAAAGAGCACCAATAACCAAACACGGGGAGGAGTGGCCAGGCAGAACTGAAGCACTCCACACCCACTCACTTGGCTGAGGCAATGAGCTGGGCATTCTGAGAGCCATCTTCAAAGTCTGTCTGAATAATGAGGACTTTATTTCCTGTAGTGGAATCCAGGAAATCCCTGAAGAGTGAAAAGAGATTTAACAGAAGTCACTGAGTATAAAGATCAAACATTAAAGACCACAGAGCCAGTCACTCCACATTAGCTTTGGCTGCTGCAGGAGGAGAGAGAAAAACCACCAAACCCCATCACATGTGATGGAGCTGACAAGGCTTGTCCCTTAGCAGCAGATATCTGGGCAGAGCCAGCCCCGTGCCAGCCCAGCCTCCCTTTTCCATCTGTGCTGCTCTGAGTGCTCTGCCCACACACCCTGCACACAGCTGCCAGCCCATTGCAGGGAAACCCCGGCCCACACTCACCGGATGCCCTTCAGGAAGGAGAACTCGGTGTCAAACTGCTGCAGGAACAGCAGCTGGGGCCTCTGGGCCTTGCCCTGCACCTCCCTCTCCAGGCAGGCAACGTCGGCACTGGTGAGCAGCCGGGAGAAGGTGGTGACCTGGGGACAGAGGGGCAGCAATGCAGCACCTGTGCTTGCAGGGCTGCTGCTGGGCTGCTGCAGAGCTGCACTGCATCCCAAAATCAGCATTTATTTGCCAGCACCCACANGCACTGCTGATGCACCCTGGTGTGTACCTGCATGTTCCCTCACACCCTGGCAGCCAGGAGCAGCAGAGCAGCAGCTCCCTGCCCCTGGCCCTGCCCCTGCCCGAGGAGCCAGAGCTCTCTGAGCAGGCAGGTCAGCACAGGGGGAGCTGCCAGCTGCCCTCAGCCTCGCTCACACAAATACCAGCAAAGCTATTTGCTTCATCCTGCTCAGGATGGAGAGGTGCCTTGAGAAGATGCCAGAGCTTGGCGCTGTGCTAATTAACCCCAACAGCACTGCAATAATCCCCCCAGTGTTTCACAGCTCAACCAGTGAGCTGGAGCATTGCTGTTGGGAAAGAGGATCCAGCAGACACAGGCAAGAACCAGGGATGAGCTCGTGCCCTCACCTGCATGTTTTGAGGCTGGAAGGCCAGGTTCCTGAGGGGCTGCAGGACAAGGCTGTGCCCGCAGAGCAACACAGCAGCCATGTGCACAGCCATCTCCACCAGGGCTCCCTGCTGGCTGTGGCCCTGTGGCTCCACAACCAGCCCAGGCAGGGTGTTCTTCACCAGGGCAACTGCAAGGAGCTTCAGCTCAGGGGAATTCAGCACTCGGGAGCACTGGATGAATCTAGTCATCACCTCTGTTTGCTGAAAGCACAGATTGGAAAGAGCTAAAGCTTTCCAGTATCCATCAGGATACTGCCCCCACCTAAACAAAGAGCACTGGCAGCTGCTTCCCACACTGGGTTACCCTGCTCCCAAAAATCTCCACAGCCTGCTCAGCTCTGGGCCATCACCCTGGCTGGGGCACAGGAACCAAAGCTCCTCCACCACTGATTCAGATCCCCTTCCTCCTTACCCACAAAGCAGGTTTGCCACAAGCTGCCAAAGGGGGATGTCCTACCTGCTGCTTGGGATGAAGGCTTGGATTCCCATACAGAGCAGTGACCTCTCGGAAGATGGCCAGGAGCAGGTGGGCAGATTCCAGAGCTGGGGGGCTGCTGGAGGCCTGGGAAGAATGAAGGATGTGGCTGGGAACAGGCCAGAGCTGCCCCAGCTATGGTGATGGAATGTGCAGGTGGGAAAGTAAAGAAAACGTGCTTGAGCACAAGTCCCAGTGACCTCCCAGCAGAGGCCCCAGGTGCTGGGAACAGACACTGCCCAGAGGGACACAGCAGAGCTGGGGCCATGCAAACCCAGCAGGGGTCTGGAGGGAGGACTGGGCCCAGCAGGGGTCTGAGGGAGCACTGGGCTGTACCTCCTGGGCCTCGAGCAGCCCCTGGGCCGTGCCCTCCATCATGGCTCGTCCCACGGCGTCGCGCAGGGCCCAGTACCGCTCCCCATACACCAGATACCGGTCCATGTGGTTGTACTGGCTGTGCTGGACCTGCCAAGGGAACAGCCATGCACAGCACTGGGGACAACCACCCAGCTGTGGCAGAATCTCCTCTTCCTCCTGAGCACTGGGGCATTTCAGGCTCCCCAGAGCAACAGCAGCAGGCATGATGCTGCCAGGAGAGACTCCATTCACCTGAGAGCCAGAACAAGCCACCTCCAACCACTGCCACTCTGGCCCGACCCTAAGAGACACACAACGCTAGGAACACCCCAAAGCAGCACAAAGTGAAGGCAAAGAGGAGACCAGAACCATCACCAGGAGATGCCTCTTGTCTACCTGCTGCAGAATTTCTGCTGGGAACACCCAACTGAACCGTGGCTCTGTGACCAACTTCTGAGCAAATGCCATCCCGTGCTGGCTGGCAATCCTCCTGACCAGGTACACACGGTGCCAGTCATTCCTGGCAAGGTTGCAGAACTCCTCCACGTTCTTCAGGTAACGCTGCATCTCCTTCATCTGCTCTGGCTCTGGAGGGCAAAAAAGAGGTTAAAACAAAGAGGCAAAAGTACATCCCATCCTGTAAAACTTTTCTGTCTGCCCCAGCTGTAGCACCAAGTCCCTTTATTAGTACTGTGTTATTACACAGAAGAACTTCAGAGCCTTTCCCTCCTCGGGTGTTGTCGGGAGCATATCCTCAGCCAGATTTCACACAATGACGCCTTTCTTTGACAGGGAAGGTATAAACTCATAAATATAGTAAACTCTTAATCCCTTCTAGCTGTGCAGAACTCTCATTCATACAAAACAATAACCCTTACAGCAGTCCTGGGTCTCAAGCAGCATTTATGCTTTAAAGTTCAATTTAGTGGGCTCTAAATAAATCTCATTGTTACCATCAGGAGGATAAAATAAATCCCTTCCACAGGTGTTAACTTCCATGTAACTACACTGGGGTCACCAGCAAAGCCTTTCTACCAGTTACAGAGTACTTCTAACACGAGGTACAGGGGACAGACACTGACTGACACAGACAAGGGAAAAGGGAGTTGCTGCTCTCCTTCTTGGCCATGCACTAAAACAGGTCCTAGCAGAGCACAGGGCATTGCCTGTGTCCAGCCCACCTGCCCTGCATGCAGCATTTCCAGCAGAGCAATCAGACTCACCCGTGTGCTGCTGCAGGTCAAAGATGAGCTCTGCAGCCCTGCTCAGGCACAGGCGCACCTCAGCCACGGCCTGCAGGTATTCCACAGAGGCTTCCTGGGGAGCCTCTCTGCTGCTGGCTGGCAGGTAGTTCTCTGGAAAGGTTCTGTCCTCAGGCAGACTGTTTCCATGCCCACATCCCAGGCTGTCCTCTAACTTCTCACACATGGAATCCTAGAGAGAGGCCAGAACACTGGTGAGTGGCAGAGCCACCCCACTCAGCCACCCCTGTGTCCCCAGGGCACCCAGCCTGCCACGAGCACAGCAAACCATCCCTGCACCCTTCCAAACCACTCACATTGCCCCCCCATTCTAAACCTCTGCCATGTCGCCAAATACTATTTTCAGGATGTGCCCCAGCTGTCCTACACTTCCCAAGCTTGGAGCTGAGGTAGAGCCAGGAGCAGGCTGTGAATAACACACATTCCTGTTCCAGGATGCCAAACTCAACCTGTCTGTCCCTTAGCAAGAACACAAATGGTGATTTTAACTACAAAGTCACTTGCCCAGCTCTTACCTCCAAGCAGTTGACAAAAAGCAAGTAGAGCTCTTTTTTATCATTTTTCTCTAGGAGCTTGCTGTGCTCCACCTGGGACAGGTAACGCTGCACATCATCTTTCACTTCATTGAAGCTACANGGGTGCACCCGGCACTTCACCCGGTGCGTGCCCAGCCCCAGGTCCACGTACTTCTGCCCGGCCAGGTACACGTAGTACTGGTTGAGGGCGTCGTAGAGGCTCTCGTAGAGGTTCTGCAGGTTGAGGAGCACAACCATCTTGCCGGTTTCCATGCACACCTTCACTCGGTTGATGTTCCTGCATATCTGGGTGTATTCTTGGTCCTTAGGAAAACTGGAGCCAAAGATGATTTCTGGCTGCTGGCGGGCGGTGAAAAACGCCTGCTGGAGGATCTGCAGCGCAGCGTAGTTCTCAGTCAACACCAGCAGGTACCTGCAGTCCCCATCCTCAGCACTGCTGTAAATGTTCTGTCGGATCAGCTCTATCCTACTGATATCATGAGCGCGTATCTCCCCTTTCTCTAGCAACTTGGAAGTGAATATTTCCAAGGCATTGACGTCATCTTTGCCACCGAAGTTACGAAGAACCACTGCGGCGATGTCCTGAGGTGTGGGCTCGCTTTTGGAGCTCTTGGCTAGGGCAAAAAACATCTTTATGAGGCTGTAGTAGTCACGCAGGCCAAAGAACTCCCTGTCTTGGGCCTTGCAAATGTTTTCATATGCATCTGCAAAGTGATGGAAATACTGCTCGACCTTCTGCAGAGCCCCTCGTGCCGAGCAGCAAATGCCCTTCGCGCTCTCGATGAGCTCCTCTCTGCTGGGGTCACCACGAGACACAAAGATGCCTCGATTCATCTTAGCAGGGTCCAAAGCCCAGTTGGAAATCCCAATGAAGCCAACTTTTTTGTGAGGAAGAGGGACATCATCTATGCAGCCATCCTCCAAAAGTGGATGCAAAGTCTTCAGGGGCATTTTGGGAGAGTCTTCTGCCAGCCCAATCTCATCCAGAACCACCACTGACACATACTCCTCCAAGTTCTTCCCTTCCTGGAATCGAGCACAGTGCTTGAAAGTGCCTATGATGCCCTCTGGAGTGGAGAGGGGGCTGCACTGAAATGACACGAGATGGATCTGCTTCAGGTCCTTGAACAGATCAGAATGAGCTGCTTGGCCCTGCATAGCATCGGCCACAATGGTTTTTGCCAGGGATTTGGAGCTCCCAGGCTTCCCCACCAGAAAAAGGGGGATTTTTAGCTCAATACAGATGACCATCATGAAGACATTTTCCTTCAAGGCCAGGTTCCTTGCTATGGTATCCCGGAGCGGTACCCCACTCAGGAATAAGTCCTGCATCAGAGTGATTTCTTCCAAAATCTTTTTCTGGGTATCATAAGGCTTTGGGAGGACCTGGCTGATGGCAGTCCTGTATGGTTCCTTCTCTTCCAGGGACGCGTGATAACAGACCCCGACCGCCAGCACCAAGGACCAGATGACACCATTTCTATCACCGCTGCCCTTGGGGACTTTCCTCTCAGCCAGGTACTTCTCCAGCTCCCTCAGCAGCATGGGGCTGTGCCTGTAAAACCACTTGAACACCTCCATGCAGCGCTCCACGTCCCGCAGGCTGACGAAGCTGCACTCGTCGTCCCTCTGCCTCATGTACTGCTGGGAGGCAAAGAGCACCTCTGTGACCGTGCTCACGTCGTCCTTGGTCACGAGCAGCAGCTGCTCGGCCACGCGCTGCACGATCTGCTGGATGTACATCTTCTCGGTGCAGTTGTTGAGCTGCCCGAAGTCCCAGACCAGCGGGATCATGCTGGGCGGGAGCGCGTGCACGCGGTACACGAGCTGCCGCAGCGGGATGGAGCCCAGCTTCTCCCGGGTGTCGTCAGCCTTCACCCGGTAGCCCAGCCCAGCCAGCTCCAGGCGCTGGATCATCCTGTCCGTGTGCTTCCGGTAGGGATTGCAGGCTGCGATGATCCTCAGGCCAGAGCCAGGGGCCAGGGGCTGCCCCTGCACCGTGCGGTCACACAGAACCTCCTTGATGCTGCTCACGGCCTCCGTCGTGTTGGCTTCGTCAAAAAAGAGCACGGTGTCCAAGCCGTGCTGCTCCTTGTTGGATATGGCCAGGGCTTCTGCTTCCCTGATCCTGGCGTAGATCATCTCCGCAGTGGTACCTCCGTGAACCTTGACGAGCTTCATGTTCTCCACCTCGACGAAGCTCCTGCGTAACTGGCACAGGAACTTCACCAGCCTGGTTTTCCCACAGCCCGTTTCTCCCATGATGACCACGGGGATGTTGCAGCGGAATCGCATCTCGATGGCCAGGATTTTCAGCATGTTGTCCATGGTGAGCTCGTAGGTCTCATCAGGGTCAAACACCCAGGGGAGCCCCAGCACCATGCAGAGCCTCTCGAGCTTCTCGTTGCGGGGCAGCTGATCGAAGGGCACGTTGAAGGGAACCCTCTGCATTAACAAGCCCTGGTAGAGCTGGGCAGTCATGATGTCCTTCTTGATGACAGTCCCGTTGAGAGGATTGATGGCATCAATGCGATTGCTGGTCTGCTGGAAGTGGAAACCAATGAATGTCATGGACACACGATCCTCATTGAAAAACAGGTAGGGATGAGGCTCTGACTCCCACTTCTTCCTGATGCGGAAAGGAAGCAGATCTTCCTCCGGAACGTTCTCCAGGTGGGAGGATCGTCTTCCCGAGCTCTGGTCGGAAATGCTCAGGGAGGGCGTCGCAAAGTCCCGCGCCATTAGAATCATGAAGCCAACCACAAAGTTCTTGAAGCCATTCAGAGTGTCCCCGACAAAGTCAGGGTTGCAGAAGACAGAGGCCTCGCAGTCCCTCAGCTGCACGTTGAGGAACCAGGTGAAGTTGCGGAGCTCTGCCCAGGAGGGATCCACGACCCCGCAGTGCAGCAGGAAGAGCTGCAGGCATTCTGCAGGGCTGCCTTCCACCGAGAGCGCCTCGTAGCAGAACCTGTCCAGGTTACAGCCCTGGTCAAACCTCTTCAGGTACTGGAAGGGTCTCTGGAAAGCCTCACTGCAAAACTCCTCCTCGTCCATTCCCACATGCCCGGCATGGTTCCCAAGTGTCTCCATTTCTAGCACTTCTTTGGGAGACTTGCATGTTATTTTAGGGAACACATCCAAGAAGTGATACTTCTGGTTCACTGACATCTGGAGAAAAGAAAAAGAAAAGAAAAGGTCATCACAGAGCTGCAGCCTCACTCTTCATCAGCTTAGTTAATCTGTTCTTAACAGTCTCCTTGCCTAAAACCACAGGCCTGAGGAACAGGAGCCAGACTTCTCCCCGTGCATCCCTTCATCCATTTAAAGTGCACCAAGGAATCCTCTTCCCTCCTACATTTTCCTTCCAGGAACATGAGGCTGGCATCACCTCCAGCCCCTTCTCAAGGCTGCTTCAAAGAAAACTAAACCCAAGAAACTGCTGGTATTTATTCCACTTGCTTCTACATTCTGTTCTTACAGAGCCATATAAATATTCCCCTATTTTCAAACATGCAAATTACCATGAGGGAGATTGGATTTTGCATTTTTATGTTTCCTATAAATGTTACAGTGGGGGCAGTGAGGCTTGGACTACCATTCCTTCAGAAATCATCAACCCAATGAAACCAGACAGGCCTAATTTGCTGTCTGGTGTTAGTGACACTTTGTACAACACCAGGGACACCAGTTTGTTATGGAATACAGCACACCTCCAATGAAACAGGGAACTCCTGTGCTGTGTTCACAGTTACAGTCTCTACAGCTCACCACAGCTATGCACAAACACGTGCAAAGGGACTGAGAAATTCCCAGAAAGGAGCATTGCTGGTACGTACAGGTCTGGCTGCTGCCTTTGGCACTGGGGACCCCTCCAGGATTTCAATGATGTACAGGTGACACTTCTGCCTTAGCCACATATTGCCATTATTATCTGTCAGGTACTGCAGAACCAACAGCTTGAAGAGGAACTCTGGAATGCCACGCTGCACCTGTCACAAGGAGAGATAGCAAAGCACTTTTTTATTTATCCATCACAACTTCACAGAATCACACAACAGCTGAGGGTGGGGAGGCTCTCTCCTCAAAGCAGGCCCAGCTAGAACAGGCTGCCCAGGGCCCCATTCAGTCAGGTTTTTAATGTCTCCAAGGTGGAGACTCTACGGCTTCTCTGAGCAACTGCTCCACAGTTCAATCACCTTGATGGTATTTGTGTTACTTACACAATAATGAGAGAACACATGCTAGGGAAATGGCTGGTTGAGAAACAAGAGCTTTAAAGAAAGCTCCTGCAAGAGTCCACACAGGACCTGCAGGACAAGGCAGCTGTGAGAAGGAGGGATGTACTCACTGAGGAGGTGATATCAAAATGGAATATCATGGGTTTTGTCTGGTGTTCTTTCTTCAGAAAAGGCAGGAGAGATTTTAGCACTTTATCTTCATCCACTTCTGGTTCAATCAGTCTGATGGTTTTCAGAAGTTCTGTGCAGTCAGGCTGCTCTTCTTGCAGTCTCTCATGCAGCCTCTTCACATACAGAGATTTCCCTGTTATTAAAAACACCACAAGAATTAAAGCCATCAATATCAGATATATCACATTAAGACCATAATAGACACAAGGAAATAAAATGCTTAAGTACTCTATGCCCTAAAATCTCTGGAGTTTCCGAAAAGGCATTCCAGAATAAAGTCTAAATCTGGTTTGAGCAGCTAGAGCCTGGAATCCAACACATGGCTCTTGTTTATCTAGAAGGTTTATTTTC